TTTGTTTGTCCTTGTGAAAAAATATTCTTCCGCTTGTTGACTCATATATTTCAGTATCATCTGATAGACCTTATTGAGACTGATCGATTAGTATTTATTCTACAGCTGATCGCCAAGTCTCATGAAACTCTCATGTCATAGAAACTAATCGAAAACCGTCCACTAATTATAGTTATTTTCTTCACCGACGGCTAACCATCGGCTTTTTTCCACTGTAAAAACTTGAGAATAAACGAAATAATCACAGTTAAGTGTCAGTCATAGAAATAACTGGAATTAATTGGTAGATTTTGATTGTTTTATATGACATGGACTATAAGTTCCGTGTTGTCATCCAAATATTTGCATTACTGTTGGTCCCAAGCAATTTTATACGTATTTCAGTAAAATGACACTGTCTAGATTTTCGTGTGAATGTTTTGGTGCTGATTGCCAAAGCTTGATAAGATCTATCAATTGTTACATAACGCACAATACACCGATATCCTTCAGCACTGAATATTTCCAATACAATCACTCTACTAAATATACAATAACGAATTACATGCGAATTTCACTATTACTCGGAGAGCATCATACAATTTTCCGCTTTTTGCTACAGATATTTTATTCTCATTTCACGAAACTCGATGATAATTATTAATTATGTATATAATCTCGAATGAATCATTATATGTTATGAAGAGATTACTTGGTTACTAGCATTTCAATTTGTATGCCAGGGATGCAATCGATTTGCAATTTCTGGGGACCGAATCAGCATAGTTTTTGAAAAGTTCGAATCAAAGCGATTTTGATTCGGTTCGGTTTTAAATCGAACCGATCTCATCTTTGATGTATACTATTATCAATAACATGAAAATTTAATGAGTATGTGGAGAGCAATAGATACTTTTCCATCATTTTGCTCAAATGTTCCAGTATCGTTTGATAGATTTCTATGAAATCTATCTACTAGTATGTAATCAAGAGTGTACCAGGATGTTTTATAATAGGATATGTTTTACAACATAATTTCATTTCATCTACTAATTACAGTTAAATAGGTATTTTTCAGTAAATTCGAGAAGTGAAGATATCATACCATTTTTTGCTCTGGACGTTATGGTCTCATTTAATAGATCTTATTGTAATCTATAGATTGATACAATAGAAAATGAGCAGTTATTTTCCAGACAAGGATAATTTCTATCTTACGCCATCAATATATACACTATTATCGATTTTGTACGGAGACATGTTTTATCGTCGCTATTAGATTTCTATAAGACTATTTAAAGTTTTCGATAGATATCCTAATTGACTTAATCTTTATGCTGAGCAGAAACCTGGCAGAGCATCCAATTTTGATATTGATTAGTCGACTATAAACTAAACAACGATTTTATAAGATGTATAGAAACAATGTGTTTTCGGTACTTCTTCAGAATGTTCACATCCCGACAATCAACAATGAGAGAAAAGGAAAAAAATTGATTCGTGTGCGCGTTCTATCTTCCCTCAAAATGTACATCAAAGATATGCTTCATTATGTGTCACCGAATACGATCGAATATATATGTTGTTATGCGTTCTCTGTTGTTAACTATACCAATGACATCATGCGATTACTATTCTCTCTAACCCTGTTTATTCTGATAATATCAGTATGATATCAACCATTATGTTCATTGTTTTGAATAATATCAGCTGTCTCTATGTATCTATCTATCTCTGGAAAATTTCAAGTATTATAAAAAGCTTTGAAAATTTGAAATAGAAATACTAAATCAAATATCTACTTTGGTTACACTATCATACAACGTTTTTCTCTACGATGGCTTATTCTGCTCTTCTGCCGCTTGATGATCTTACAGATTGTGAGTGGATGAAACTGATAGATGGGCAAGAAAACATGATTCATTTTTTCTTGTTGGTTGCCTTGCTTTCAGTAACCTTAAACGGATCCTGCACTAAAGGACACACCACAATTGGTATCTTGGATCAAATACCGGGGCTAATGACCACTATATATGGCAATACCGAACGTGCAAAAGTACTAGATCGCTTTGTGATGGAACTTTCTTTTTCAATGCAAAACTAGAATTGGAGCAGATGGTAGACAGAATGTATTACTAGTCTGAAGGTCTTGATTCCCACGTTCATTTAGAGCACCACTACCAAATTAAGGGTGACACCATCATTGTAGACTGAAAAAACTTTATTCGTGATATATTTATCGTCTATTGTATCAAACATGCGTCGATGATTGATAGTGTTGGACATATTGTCGAGATAGATGAGAGCGCTTTGGCTAAGTGTAAATATAATAAGGAGTGATTATTAAACTCTAATAGTTAAAATATCGCGCTCTCTATTTTATAGTCGTTTAGTGAATACTGAACAGATATTTGGTGAGATTGATCGCGATTCTCGCGAATGTTTTGCAGTTCCTGTAGAGAACCGGGATGCCTAAACTCTTCTGCCAATCACTCTTGAATTTATCTTACCAGGCACTACCATCTTAGTGATCAATGGGCTGCCTACAATAACATCGCGGTGGACCCACGTAACTATGAACACCAAACTTTGAAACATTCGTTGCATTTTATCGATCCTAAAACACTTTCATATACTTAAATTGTTGAGAATATGTAGATGTATATCAAACGAAGAAAAGAACAATAAATCGGTCAACATAACAGTCTTTTATCCACTCATCTGGCCGAATTCATGTGGTGGCGGAAGTTTCGAGATAGACCTTTTAAAAATCTTATAAGATGTGGTCGTGACATTTATACTGCCCTATAGTTTTTAAAAAGAACTGACTTCAAGCTATACGATAATGTTTTTTTCTACACACTCATATGCACGCGTAATCCAGCGTCATCTTTTATGTACATCGTAATGATAGATAGAACGTGCACATCGCTTAATTTTTTTCTTTCCTCTCGCTGTTAATAGATGGAATATGCATATTCTGTAATAGTACCATGTTTTCTGGCTGAAAAACTATAATGTGGTCATATTTGCTTTGAAAACTTTCTGAACTACGTCATGTTTTTTTATTCAATTTATACATCAAAACAGGTAGTTTTTGATGAGTTTTTAGAATCCGTTCTTATTTTTCTGATGTACATGAACCACAGAGCCTTTTTTCAAAATACCTAGAAAAGTTTATTTGAAAATCGACAGTACATTTGGTACCTCTAAGTGGCATGCACCGCTTATCGATTAAAAGAAACAGAACATGCACTGAGTATGACAATAACAGAAAAGAAACAAATTTAATTGGTACATTACGTAAACCATTAAACATCAGAGGCTTGGATGACATAATGAACGGAGAGAGAAAATATTTTTTTTTTAAAAAAGACAAGACAATAATAAGCATGAAGAGAATAAATAAAGAGCTGAAAGTTGGAGAACAGGAAAAGCAATTAGATCAGAGAATATCAGAGCCTTAAATGTCGAACTAGGTTTTCAGGATGTGGGTATGCGAAGATGAAGAAAAAAGTAGTATGGAGCAACATATAACACCACTATCGATTCATCTAAGCGAATTCATGTAGCAAAAAAATATTCAAGTAATTGACCTTTTGAAGATCTAGTTCGACATTTAAAGCTCTGATATTCTCTGATCTAATTGCTTTTCTTGTTCTTCAATTTTCAGCTCTTTATTTATTCTCTTCATGTTTATTATTGTCTTGTCTTTTTTGTAAATATTTTCTCTCGCCATTCATTACGTCATCTAAGCCTTCCTGGTATTTAATGGCTTACGTGATGTGCCAATTAAATTTTTTTCTTTTCTGTCATTGTCATACGCAGTGCATGTTCTGTTTCTTTCAATCAATAAGCGATGTATGTTGTGTAGAAGTGACTTGATTTTTTGTATTCCAATGTTTTTCTTCCAATAATAGAGCTAATCGAAAAGGTTGTATATAGGATTCTGTGGAGCGACTTCCGCACTGTTGAATAGTATATAGTACTTGCAGATTTGATACAGTTTTGGTAAAGATGTAAGGTGGGCAAGAAATTCGAAAAAAAATTAACCAACTTTAATGGTTCGATAAGGATGATCTACTTGCGTCCTTTATCTCCTCACAATTGCATGTATATTAAATCCTAATATTTCGCCTCTCAATATACGCACTATGACCGCTCTAGCTAAATATCAAAGATTAAAATCTAAAATATATATCCGGACGGTTTCTATGCATCTGAGCGACACTCTGGCGAAGTCTTTCTTAGTAGTTTCTTTAGCAAGACTACTAATGAATGGTCTTAATAAAAAAAAAAGTCGTGTTATCTTTCAACTAGCCGCAACTTGGTGTTTGAGAATAATATTCATGGTACTTTTTTGCCAGATGAACAGTGGAATTTCGTATAAAAAAACGAAACGGTCTGTTTGCTTGGTCATTCCTGTTTACATAACCTATAAACCAAGTAGTTAAGATATAAACGCGCTCTATCCCACCAGTTCGCGCCCATGTTAACGAAATTAAGATATATTTCAAAAGTCGATTGGAACATTATCTGAATATACTCATCAGTTGTTCATTGTTACCATTGTACAAAACGCTTCAAAAGTTTTCGCAAGAATTTTTCAGTGGTTTTGATACTAATTTCGGTTTTTTTTAATTGTTACTTTATGCAACACAAATAGGCTTTTAGAAATTTTCAAAAGTTTGGAAGCCTTTGCTAGGTTTTTAATAATACAATTATTTCTAGAGAAACTCTGAAGCAACACTGAATCGACCATTGTGAACAGTTCATATCAAAATTCATATCTAATGGAAGAGCTCCAAACCGATTTCATAGTTGTGGGAGGTGGTACTGCTGGATGTGTTGTAGCTTCAAGATTAGCCGAATATGGTTTTGACGTTCTCTTGCTATCGAGTGGGTCAAATGATACAGCAAATCCACTGATGAGACAGAGATCTCTATTTATACAGCTCTTGGAGACTCCTCAGTTTAAACATCATCTATTTCACACACCATTACCAAATCTAAATAATCGAATGTTGGAGCTTATTGTTTGGAATAGTCTTGGAGGCAATAGCATTAACTGGGGTGGAATGGAACGTATGACGAAAGGCGAATGCGATTTACTTGTTCATGCCAGTGGTGATGAATCATTCTGTTTGGAACGTATGTCGATGTATTATAAAATGGTTGAAAACTTTGAGACAACTGCACCGTGTCCGATCGACGGAATTCATGGAAACAATGGTCCCATTCATATGATACATGTTGATGAGCCTCTTTTCTCTGACGTATGGAAAAAGGTCGCTGATGAACTCGGTGAAACTTTTAGCGATGATCTAGCCGGTCCTATTGATTATGGTTTTTCATTCGAACCATCGTCATTCGTTCACGACGTGAGACACTGGAGTGCTTCCGAATATTTAATTCCTGCTTTCGACAAATATCCGAACCTCACTGTAATAACAGGCGCTACTGTAACTAAATTCAATGTGAATACAATTACAAAGCGTATTGACAATGTTCTTTTCGTCTCCTCTCGTGGTTGCTTCAGTGCTATTGCTCGAAAAGAATATATTTTGTCTGCTGGCACATTTTTCAGTCCTCATCTACTTCTGTTATCGGGTATAGGTGATCCGGAACTTCTTGAGAAAAACAGTATACAAATGACACATGCTTTGACCCAAGTTGGAAAGAATCTTACTGACAATGGTCTTCTCACACTTGAATATGAAATGAAGGGTTTGCCTGTTGATCAATGCATACCGGTCGCTTTAGTCAACCGTCAAATGAAGACTACCGAAAGGAATTCTGATTTGTTCTTTGTTCTAAAAATGAATCGTACAACAGAACATCTTTATGCACTTATTTTCAATGGATCGCCCAAATCTTCCACTGGTTCTATTTCATTGTATAATTCCAATCCACTCGTACCGCCAAAAGTAACTTTAAATTACCTTGAAGATGAAAAAGACGTTGGGGCGTTTGTAGATGGCATTAATTATCTTCGACGAATGATGTCTACGAATGCAATAAAAGAAATTGCTCGAGTGACTGAAATTTCACCAGGAATTCAAGAGACGAACTTGTCTAATTATGTCCGTAATACATTGGTACCTGCACATCATTTCATCGGTACGTGTTCAATGGGAGAAGATGCAAAGACCTCAGTGGTTGATAAAAACTTCAAGTTACATGGACTAGAAAATCTTCGCGTAGTGGATGCGTCAGTATTTCCAAAAGGTTTCGTGTCCAAATTAGGTCCCTGTTTGACTGTCTATGCTTTAGCTGAGAAAGCTGCAGACATTTTGAGACAAGATTATTCTTGCCAATAAAATATATTTGCACTTACACTTGCGAAGATGTGGGTGTGGATGTGGGTGTGTGGGGTGTGGGTGAGGGTGTGAGTGGGAGTGGGTGTGCGTGTGCGTATGCGTGTGGGTGTGGAGTATGGGCAAGGAGTAAAAAGCGAGACTTCATCTACTTCAAAAAATTTGAAGTATGGGTGAAGTACCGTGAAGTACGAGTGAAGTACCGTGAAGTACGTGAAGTATGAAGTCTCGATTTTTCCCCCTTGGGTGTGGGTGTGGCAGAAGATAAGACCGATATCCACACCCACACCCACACCCCTAAATACATAGACGCCTGATTTGTGATGAAATGAGTGAAGTTATACATGAAAAGCAAGTTATATAGTGCTAGACGACACAAATTTGTATATCACGCTGCTGCCGAAACAAGGAGCAAACTGACCTATGTATGTGATCGTCGAGTAAATAATTAGCTATCTATAGGCGAATGGCAACTCGCATTTTACGCTGACTGTTCATCAAAGTTGCCGATATTGTTATTTTTTTTCGAGTTTTCACCCTATATGTTTGATAAATAGCGACGATGGTATTCGATAAATCTAACATTATTTTTCAATCATATCACTATCTCGTAATATTAACATATTATGTAGATAGAACGTGATATCAAAGACCTTTGCTTGACTATAAAATAGAATAGAAAGTAATAAAACTACTTAGTAACAAAGTCATAAAACACAATCTTTGCATTTCAATAAAAAGGAATAATCAAAGCGCTAGTATCATTAAAATGATTAGAACAAAGCAATTATTGATTAAAAGTAATAAGTAATAAAAGTGATAATAATTATTACCAATTACCGAGTAATAGTAATAAAAAGTAATAGTAATGTGCCACCCCTACTCTTATCTAAGTCCGTTTGAACACCATTTATTTTGTCTCGAACATCTGATAGTTTCTTTTACGAACATCTGCCTTTTGGAACTCTGCCACGTGATATAATTCATTTCGAACATCCATTCTCTATCTTACGAACATTCGTTAGATTTTTTTCCGAACATCCCATGTCAAAGACGAATGCTCGGAATGATCGCGACGAAACGTCTGGCAGCCATCTTTTTTTTATTCATTGTTATTGCGCTTCGAGAGCACTGAAGTACTTGTTACTTCCAGTGCTGTGGATGGTTCACTAATGTGTTGTGTTATATAAAGAAGATATTGGCAGCGAGTCGTGTTATGAGTGCATTGCGATAGGAACCATCACAAATCTCCTCTACACTGATCTCTTATCTACACGTATAATATGTACGCCCAGTGATCTTCGTTTGTTTCTCTTCTCTCGGTCGTGATCGTTACTACTGGATTTTTCCAGTCAAGAAAAAACACGTTGCATAGTATACGCGTTCGGGCTATGTAGCGGCAGTGAAAAAATTTCTTTTCGATTCTTAAAGTACATGTTATGAATGGTCTCCTTCACTCTGTAACAAATTTACCTTAGAACGTCTTTCCGCACGAGATACAAAGTCCGAAAGCTACACACTACAGATGGGCAAGTCAAGTTATTGGTCAAACAAAGAAATTTTAAAGACAAGTCAAGTCATCGACTTGGATTTTTGTTTAAGTCTCGTTTGTTTCATAAGTTTTTCTATTGGTATAAAATTTCTTTTGTATCGTTTTTGTAATATTATCAGTAATTTGTGATGTTGTTTCAATTGACTCGTCCGATGTAGAACCAAGTAGTGAAATGGATGTTAACAGAGATACACCTAGAGTATCATGTGGAATGTGAGAATCAACTTGTGAAATTAAATCATTCATATTCAATAATGATGTAAGTTTGAATTAATTTAACTGGTTTAATAAAATAGATCACATATGAATCACTCTTACTCTTATGATTAATGTATTTGAAATTATGAATAATGTGGAGAATCTTTCTCATTTCTCTCAATTAAAAATCTTTTTTTCGTTTGAATAATTTAGTTAAATGTAAAAATGTCTTTAATTATTCAGTTGATATAAGGTGTATCGTCTCTTCATGCAAGAAAAAGAATCTTTTTTATCATTTGAAAAACATCTGATAATAATTAGATGAGTGTAGAAAAAAAATACTTTGATGATTTTTGTGATAAACTTGTATCCTTCTCTATTTTGTTCTATAAGTTTGTCAGGAGACTCTGATTTGTCTCTAGAGATTAACATAGACGAGATATTATATGTTAGCTCGAATTGATTGTTGACATAAATAGTATGAAGATTGAGTGATTGTCTTTTATTTTTCTATAATTTTATCTAATGAACTAAGAAACATAAGAATTCAAGTTTTGGAAAGATATCGAAGAGAGATTTAACTAATACAAGAATTATTAAGAAAATCTTTTCTATATCAAATATATTCGGAAGAAATGAATTGAATAACAAAGAATTAAAAAATGAGAAGGAAAAATCGATGTTTCCACTTGTGAATAATTTCAAGTGAAAAGGATCGATGATCAATATTTTTGTATTATGGAAAATATTTGTTAAAAGAATATCATTTCCTTTTTTTGCTTAACATTTTATCAATTTTTTATTTAATAAAAAGTCCTAGTTTTCAATTGTGTTCGCTTTTGATTGATATTTCAGTGAAAGTCCAATGTGCAAAAATTTTTTAAAGAAGAAAATCGATTTGCTAAAAAAAAGTGTTATTTCTATCAATGAGATATTTTCTATGTTCGTCATTTATTCATTTCTAATTTGTTATTGAATTGTGAGAAATTGATCAGTTTTGTTCATGCTGCTCAAAAATCAATTTGACAAGAAATGCTCAGAAAAACAACACAAATCGTCCTAAGCTGTTCTACTTTTTTGATTGTTAACCTCTTGGCTACTGCTGTCTTCAGATTGAAGACAAGGAGAAGGAAGAGAATATTCTTTTGCATTCTGTCAGATCGTTCACTAGTTGAATACGCTAGAGAGAGAGTAATTTTTCGATTTTTCTAATATATCAAACAGAACGAAAGACTTTGTCGGTATTCAGGAGGTTAAAAACATAACTTCATCATACATAGAGCAAGTGGCTAATAATTAATTATAGGCTGAAGAGCAATAAAATATAAACCAGAAAACGAATAAATATTGCTCGATTAGAAAGAGAAAATTATAATACATTCTGAAACGTGATAGATAATAATATTGTTGTATCAGTCATCAAATCATTTTTCTATGATAGGACTATTCTTTCTGTTCTCTTTTCTTTCATTCTGTTACAGTGATATAATTACCCAAAATAAATACATAGAACAAAATATAAGTAGTGTCGAAATACTTTCTATTAGATGCAACAGATAGATTTTATATTTATTTAAATTTATAAAATATTATTCATTTATTAAAAGGTCGTAGTGATTAAAAAATCTGATATATTTTAGATATGATATCATCATTTGAATCTTTGTCAAACGAACTTTTTTTTGAAATATTTGAATATCTATCGCCATGTGATATGTTTCGATCATTTATCAATGTTAATAATCTTTTTAATAGTATTATTTATTCATATCCACTTCATTTAAATTTTCGATCGATTTCTCGATTAGAGTTTGATTATATTTGTTATAATTTACGACCAAAACAAGTTATATCACTTATACTTTCTGATGAAACAATACCTTATCAAGTTCATTTATTTAAAAAATATTTTCCATTTTTTAAAAATGAATTTATTAATCTTCAATCGTTAACATTAATTGAAATGTTTGATGATATAATTGATTTACCAGAATCTGTTCGATATCTTGAAATTCGAAAATTTGATACTTATAAAAATTTTGGTTTTAATTTTGATGAATTACTTGAACAACAAGCAAAATATTTGATTCATTTAAAAATTGATAGAATTGGCCTACTCAATTCTCTCAATACTCAATTTCCAAATCTTACTCATTTGACAATTGATGGTGGTTTTTCTCCTAATGAAGATTGTTATATTAGATGGTCTGATCAATATAAAAATATTGATATTATTTCAATATTTAAACATCTTAATAGTTCAATAACACATCTTTATCTTTTTATTGATAAAGAAAATCGAAATATGAAAATAAATCTTGAACAATTTTCTCATTGTCTTACTCATCTTACACTTCATTTTGTTGAAGGTAAGAAAAGAAAATTTATAAAATTTATATATATTTTGTTCAATTGTAGATATTATTGTATCATTTCAATCGATTGAAGAATATCTTTTTAATTTACATAACTTAACACATTTAACTATTCAAGCAACTGGTAAAAATGATTTAATTGATGGTAATCAATGGAAAAAATTTCTTTTAACAACAAATATAATTAAGTTTAATTTTAAATTTCAACTTTTAAATATAAATGAAGATGAATCAATATTACTCAAATCATTTCGTTCATCATTTTGGTTGAAAGAAAAACATTTCTATGTTGGATATTGTTATGATGAATATGATAAAAAAACATTGATATATAGTATACCTCGATTTCGATTAAATCATATTAATTATCCTTCATCAAATTTTCCATATAAAACAACAGCACCATCAGATATTCAAGAAAAACTATTTAATAAAAATAAAATTGATTTTTTATTTATTGATATTGATAAATTTCAAACACCACCAATTTCTCGTTTTACACAAGTTAAATCATTAATATATTATGGTTCAACATTAATGCCATTAGATATCCTTAAAACAATTCTAGATTTAAATCAAATTGAAGAACTCGACGTTTGTTCAATTAGATCTTTATCAAGACATGAACTATATAAATTAATAAAAGTTCTTCCTCGATTAAATTCTCTTACTATGAAATTTAATCCATTATTTGTTATTCCATCACAAATTCATACTCTTATATTGGAAGGTGATTCTCGATCAATATCTATTGATCAACTTTATCATACCATTAAAAATGTTAAAACTCTACAAATTCCAACTAATTCAAAAGATATGATGCTTGATATTATTGATCAACTTGATCATCTTGAGAATATTATCTTTACATTTGATGAGTTTAATGAAGGTGAATATTTGGAATTCTTCATTGAAAAATTATCAGTTTATTGGATGGAAGATAATTGTCATCGTCTTGCCATGAATCATTTTACATTTCGACAAGGGGAAGAATATCAAGAGATTCACATGTCATTTGGCGGTCCAAAGACTAAAAAATATTCAGAAAATTATACATATTTGAATTAAATCAATAAAATTATCTTTCCGACGAAAATAATTCTCAATATACAATTAGAGAGCTGGTAAAGACCTGAAAAATTTCCACTTTACCTAAAGTTCGCTACCAAAGAAAAGGACTTTTGCTAGCTTACAAAACAGAAGATCTTTTGGGATGTTCCTCTTCGATAACGTACGCGATACTTTTTTCTATCCTATGGGAATTTTACTTATTCCTAGTAACATTTTTGGAGGAATTTCATCTACCTCTCTACTGGGACCTTTCCATAATCATCAAGTCTTTTCTATTCTACATACATGATCATTATTTTTCTCACGAGGACTTTTCTATTTCGTATGGGATCTTTTATTATTGCTAGCAACACATTTTAGGAACTTTATCGACTTATACTAGGACCTTTTCATAATCGTGAGGACTTTTATCTTTGATTTAGATGATTATTATTTTTGTTAAGCCGACTTTTCTGCTTTCGATAGGAACTTTTATTATTTCCAGGGACACTTTTAGGGAACTTTATCTACTCTTACTAGGACCTTTCTATTACCATAAGGATTTTAATCTTTTATATAGATGATCATTATTTTCGACAAGAGGATTTTTTTGCTTTTTAAGCTATCTTTTATTGTCTCCAGCGGCACTTTACATGAACTTTTCTTTAACAGCACGGAAAAGTCCACTTAATGAAAAATAATCTTTTAATGAAACAAATGAGAATGTGAAATCAAAATGTAACTTTTGCAATAGATGTGAATCATGTCAAGCTGATTTTGATAAAGATAAAGAAAAAGGAAAAACTAACAAAGATATTGAAGCGAAATGGAGTGCTTTAAATTATTTGATTTTTCTTTTTACGTTATTATTTATGTTTATTTCGAATATGGCGGTATGGTTGTCAATGTCCAAATGACTGATTTTAATTTATTCATTTGACTATAATATGTTTGTCAATTATTATACAAAATAGTTGTACATTTTTGTAAAACACAATCTTTTTCAATAAAAAAAAAACAGTCTGCTTTCTATTTTTGCATCTGTAACAATTTTCAGGAGTGCAAAGAATTGTTTGTAGAAATGTCAGTGCGTCGAATTTGGAGAATAAAACGAAAAATTCGTTGAATTACCTATATAGAATTTTTCATAAATTCTTTTAGAGTTTATTATTTTATATACAGAGGCAGATTATTCTAAGATTTCAATAAACTTTTATTGCTTGTGAGTCTACCAATAACATGTTTGATTGATTGTTCATCCAATTGCTATGTAGTAATACTTCAGAATGTTTTTCCATCAAGACGAATATCATGTCAACATAATCTTCCAATCTCACATATTAACTCATTCCTTTTGAATGTAACTTTGATTTCGAACCTCTTCCATTTTCATTCACTAGTACGAAAAAAAATTTTCAACGATGACAACTCATTCTTTACTTTTCTTTGAACCATCATTTTTTACATGTAATGTTTCTTGATTTTGTCTTGTCTTCTGATTTTATTCATCAACAATAGATAGACATAGTGTCAATTTAATTTAGACACAGTAAGACCTCTCTGACTGAACATCCCTCCTTTATGATCATCCTGCTGATACCGAATTCTTAAACGAAAAAATGAATATATTAATAGTTATGAACAATTCCCATCATTGTCCGAAGCAAGGACGATGGTACCTCGTTTACACTTGTTATCAACTACCACACATTCTGAACTACATCCAGTTAATATATGCTAGGTATTAGAAGTATTTAAAAACTATTGAATGAAATCAACAATAGTCATGCGTTGATTTTTTTGCTGTGACACTCCACCAATGATCGTTCTGTTATACCGAACGATTTTCGTCGATTCCGGAAGTGTTCACCATAATACAGAGGTTTTACTGTATATTTTAATCAGCAATATGTTTTTTTTTCATCTAAAGACTGATAGTTAGCTCTACCATTTATTTTCATCTAATACAGTTAGAGTTAAGTTATTATGTGCGTAAAAACTCTTTCATAAATTCTTTGCGAAATTTATTACTCTACACACTTTTACAGTGTAGAGTGAAATTGGAGCGTCCATCAATAATGACAAAAAATTGTGAATTATTCTTGTATTGTTCGATATATATATACGAAAATGTTTTCTTTTTATGATACTGAATAAATATCAATAATCTCTCGTGGAAAAAAGGTTTCTTTTTCTTTTTCTATTTCTTTTATTTAGTCATTAATGCGTTGAATACAAAAAACTGTTAGTTAGAAATATTAGATCTTCTCATGCTACTTCATAAATATGAGTATTTTAACTTACGCTCTATTCTTAGAGAAATAATTGAAGGTTTAATCATGAGAAAATTTGAAATAAATTATTGTTGTTACGATAGAGAGAGATTACACGATTTAATTATACAGTCAATAGTTGATTCTTTTCTCGATCTTTCTGATGAACAAAATGCTGATATTTTTTATTGACACTCAAGGACAAATTTGTCCTACTTACTATTGAAAGTATTGTTGTACAGAACAAGAAAAAGCAGCAAACAAAATTTCGTTAGTAATGTCCGAGCGAATGTACAATACAATTTACTGTTTATATTCAAGAATTTCTTTCTGCAACCTTGTTCTTTAATCATCAAAATTTATTCTACCAACTTCAGAACGAAAATCATTATTATTTTCAAGCCTTTTTTTTTTATCATACATAGTATTAGAATTGTAATAATGAATAATAAAAAAGTGAATTCAGTTTTGATTAAAATAGGATTAGAAGATTTTTTCTTAAAAAGTTTTATCAAATATTCTTGTAGTGGTCATTAATGAATGATATATAAAATGGTAAGGGAGATATTCTGCATCGATACATATTTATTATTGTAAGTAAAGGTTTTCCGTTTATTTTTAAAAGAGAGAAATTAAAAAAAGAAAATCTTTTTTCCACATTATTTGATTGTAATAAAGCACTTTCATTGTTTTCAAATGATGATAATTTAATTGATTATAAATATTTATGTTTTGTTATGCATTCTTATCCTCGCTTATATCACAATAAATGAATTAAGTCCATTTGAAATAAAACAATCCGACGTGATTCAGATGTATACATATATGTCGATAGAACGTTTCTTTCATATCCAGGGTCGACTATTTTAATAAAGATACGATCGTATAGTCGATAAATCTTCGTCGGCCGCAGTGCAGAATGTATAATAAAAAGAAGGAGAAGAAAAATCAAGCTGATCATTTACTTTTATTTACAAAATATTTAACCATGTGGATTGACAACTATTCTGATGACGATGAACAACAAATTTCAGGTCCAAAAAGTGGTCAAATAACAGAAAAAAATCCAAATAATGAAAAGAAAGATAAATGTAAATGTTCCAAAGGATGTTCTAAACGAACATGTGTTTGTTTCAAATTTGGTAGTGGATGTAATTCATCATGTGGTTGTGGATCATCTTGTCAAAATATGTTCAATTCTTTGGAATATTTCTTTGGTAATGAAAAAAAATATTCAGCTAATCCATGTTTTTCAAGTTGGCTTGTGGAAAATGTTAAAAATGCTGATGAATTAAAACAAATCGATCGAAATCAATTACAACAGCATATTATGAAAGCTGCTTGGTAAGAAATTCATTGATAATCTAAACTTAATTGTTTTTTTATTATTCTAGTTATTCTGATGCATGTGAATTTGATGATGATCTTGGAGAATGGGCAAAAGAATGGAAACAAATCAGCAAAGTTAAAAAATTAAATCATATGCAAAAATTCTTTCGTATGCTTTTATCTAATGATCAATCTAGTTATTATTATTCATTCTGTCGAGAAGATTTCGAACAAGATAATTGTACATGGCATTGCGTTAAATGTCAAGAATGCGTAGATTGGAGAGAATGGCATTGTGGAGAATGTAAAAAATGTAAGAATTTCGGTGCTTCTACACGATATGCACACCCTCTCCGTCACCCGCACTGTGCGCTGTGTGTGTGTGTGTGTATGTTTGTGTAAGGGTGTGCATATCGTGTAGAAGAACCAGAATTTCATTATTCCAATATTTTGCTAATGTCAATTTCTTTCTTTTATAGGTACCTATGGTTTGACCATTCCATGTAGTGGATGTGGTGGTAGAAGTGAAATGTCGAATATGTGTTAAAAACTTTAAACAGATGTCTATTTATTATTTATTTTTTCTTATCATAATAATCACGCATGTTAAAATAAATAAAGAGTTCAAAAAATATTTTATCGAATGTTAAAAGAAAACAAAAGACTAACGCTTTTGTGCGATATATCTTCTAGTTTCTAAATGAAATGTGTTTATTTTTCCTGACAACTACTCTACAAAAACAAGATAATGAACAAACTACATTACATCACCAAATATAGAGTATAATTTGATGAATATATTGTTTTGCTAGATGATAATTGTTTGTCATTTTTATGCATTACAACTATCAAATTGAACTAATTCATAAGGACATTGAACTTTTTCATAAGATGCCATTAAGTTATCACTATTTTACAAGAAGTCAAATTGAAAGAGACATGCTCGTTGAAGTAATTTTGGAAGGGACTTACAATCTTCGCGTGACAAATCACTTCTAATAACGTTATTCCAATCGTAGGATGAATCCCAACGTTGTTGTCATGCATCGACATTATGACTTGAACAATCATTGATCTCGTTGAATTATCATTAGACGAAAAAAATAGTTGATAACACGAACAACAATCACCAAACAAGCCGAATTCGAAACCAGATACAGAGCTTTCGTAACGAAAAGCATGTAATTTCTGCAAACTAAGTCCAGCTATCACTCTCATCCTCATTACGAAATCCCTGTTGTTTCGTTGCGAAAGCTCTGCAACTGTTACGAACTCCCTGTATTAATGGTTATGATCGCCCTGTAAATTTCATTACGATATCCCTGTATTTTTGGTGTTACGAAAGGTCTGACTTTTGCTGTTTGTTCAACTCGTCACGTGACGAGTTGCAAGGTTCTGTCAAATAAAAGCTCTCACCGTCAAACTAACAAGGTTCAAATGCTAGGGGTGTTGGCTTGCTTAGAGGGAGATAATTGATTTTAACAGTATTCACAGTTGGGGTATATAGGAACATTAGGATTATTTGGATTCATTTTTTTATGTAGTACTTCATGCAAAAGAATTCTTTGTTACTATCATCTGATTGAATGTATATATCTACACTTGTAGTACATTTGTTAAAATAGTACATTATATAATCTATTATTTTCAGTTGAAATAAAATCGAAACTATTAGTGAATTAAAGATTTTGATAACTGCTAGCTGATCGTTATCTATGTCGATACTACTTAAGTTCCAGAAGACATCAAAACTAATGTGATCGTAATACTATTGATAAATTTCAGAAAGATTCTTCTAGCTTACTCTTGAAATACTCAGTTGGTTGCATAAAAAATTAATTTAAATAGTCCTAATGTCCCTATATACCCAAACCATGAGTACCGTTAAAATCAATTATCTCCCTCTAAGCAAGCCAATACCCCTAGTATTTGAACCTTGTTAGTTTGGCGGTGAGAGCTTTCATTTGACCCGAATATGTGCTGTCCTTTTAACGGATAGTACAAACACCTCCATTGTAAGTGCACATAATGATTCAAGCTAATACTTTAGATCTGTTATAAATACTAAGAATGGACTGAAACATCTTGAAATATATCGCAATGGTGCCCATCACACTTCTGGTAAGAAGGAGAGAAAAAGAAAGTTCTCAGGTAAGCATGGTTTGGTTTTTCTTGAATATTCGAGAGAATTCGAACAAATGATAAGAGCTACTTCATCGCATTTGGATAGGACACTCTCATCAATGACGGAAGACGTAACTAACAACTTTCTTCTAACATAAATATGATTGTCTATGAATTTCATTAGAAACTGGATATTAATAATAACTTTTATCAGAGGAAAGCAGAAAATAATCATAAAAGCTCTTTGAACATAAACTAACAATGATTGGAAACATAGTATGCACTCTAAAAACTAATCATGCAATAGCCATATATACTTCCAAATTATAAGCATCAGCGGACTATGTGACTGCTGTCTTTTCGAATGAACTACGTTTCGTCTCAAGCCATTCCGAACTTCGGATGTGTGACCGGGTGTTCAGAATAGAATGCTTCTTGATATATCTGATATTGTGATCAGAGATCATAATAAACAAGGTCAATTGTTGGGTTACAAATGGTACTGTAAGAAATAAACGTATGAAAAAATAAATATTGAAAATTTTTCTGTGTACATATCATTCTTGCTCTTATGATATTAGGCTCTATATGTAATAAAAATTAAGTTTAAAAGTGCAAAAAAACCAATATTCATTTTGTTTGTGTTCTTTAACTAGAATTCAAAGAGTAAAATTAAGAGCAATCTTGATTGGTTGCATTTATCAAGGCATTCTTCATGCACCACCTTAAACTGTAAGATAAGCATATCATTTCACAATCTCTCAAAGATGAGTGAATCGTAACATATTGACGAACATCCTGTCGTTTTTCGTTCTGAGCACCCTGTAGTTTTCATTACGACCACTCTGTCTTTGCCACTAAGAACTTCCAGACTCTTTCATTTCGATCTCCGGTTAAAATCTCGCTGGTCAACCACTGACAATGGGTTGTTAGAGTTCGTTACGAAGTTCTGGACAAATTTCATTCCAAACATCCTGCTTTTTATTATATTTCATTGACTTTTGTCATTGAGAACTCCATTCCGAACATTCTGTCTTTTTCCTTACGTTGGGAGGTCGTAATGAACAAGTGAGACAAAATGTAACTTTCCCACATAAATAACAAGATCATCATCTCTTGTGGATGATGAGAGACGAGCATTTACCATTCAAAACGATATATCAATATTTTAAAGATAATTTAATAATAAATAACTTCATCTTAAATTAAAAGAAGGACAAAACCAAATCATCAAATATCTAGATAAATAAATAAATATTGATAATCACAAAAGAAAAACGAGTTTATAAAGAATATCAGTTAACGATTTGCTTTGTGGAACGATTCTTTTGTATTTCACCAATCATAACCAGTTGATGTATGAAAAGTAGGGAATTTGTTTTTCTTTCCTTGACTATAGTTATTACCTCTGTTTGTCTTTCTTTTCATTTTATAACATGGTCAATTCTTATTATCTGTTCCTTTGTATGTTTCTCTATGTGATTTTTACACATAGAAACATAATGAAATATGTCAAGAATGAAAGATTCAATAGAAAAGTGGATTGGATTTCCATTCGTGTTACTGTCAGTTAGTAAATCATTTATTTGCTTGTTCATATATCTGATGTTATAAATCTTTTAAATTAATAAATAATTTGAACACTCTCATAATAATTCATTATTAATACTTGTTTTTATTAGACGATAATATAGCCATAAAAATGTGCAAAGAAAAAAACCTTCTTTAATCTGAATCACAATAGAATTATAATCTCAAGCATTATCGATTTTTTCAAAAAAAAACAAAAAATTCTCCAAAGTCTAACCGCTGCCGCGCCGCACCGCAACAATAAAAAAATAAACTGCCGCTACCGCACCACTGATCGCCTTAGCGGTAGCGCCACCATGGACATTTCTGCAATAAATAATCATTATTCTTTTTAAATTGTCTATATTTTAATTATATTAACGAATACTGATAATGTCGTTTATTTTTTTTCTTTTAAGTTTGTATTCAAAAGCCCTTCATCTTGCAAAAAAACTACCCATGTTATCGATAGCGGTTAAATAGCGGTGATATCACGCCGCTATTGCGATCGCATAGTGACCCTTTTTAGCGCCCGCTATGTCCGTAATAGCGCGATATGACAGCGACACAAACTAATTTTACGTGCTATAGCGTCGTACTTTCGCATATTCCAGTATTTCACTGCACGTGTATTCTTAGTAGACCCTAGCTACATTTAAAAATTTACTCATAAATCAATTCAACAAATATTTTTATTTTCGTACTTTTATTTAATCACACAAGAAATCACTATGTTAAAAAACCACTAATATAAATTTTATGTGATATCTAACACAAAAATATAATCAATACAAAAAAAAAACAGTTTTACAGAAAAAAGAAATTTCTTATACAAAAAAATATTTAACGTAGAATACATAAAAAGGGTAGTTGGTAGCCTACAAAGATTTTATTTTTCTACTATCATTCATCTGTTGCTGGGATCTTCCGTAAATCAGTACATAGACTGACGTCTGATGATGTGAAAATCTAGCTACATGGGACAAAAATAATTTAAAAAAAATGAATTCTGCACTTGCTAGAATTGATAAAAGATTTGTACCGTCAGCATCAGTGATGTCTATAAGTATTTTAATGAAAATTATATCTAAAACAAAGGAGAATGACAAAGTAGAACAATGGAAATTATGAATTATTGTAATACATTTGATTTTACTAACAGAATCTGAGAAAATATTTACCATCGAAAATTTTCAGAAACTACCTATCTTTTATTTGAATTAGTAAAGCAAAAATTTTTTTTTTTCATTTATCAGCGCAGCTGTATAAGAAGTCGTCCGTATTGTTGTCATGATGATAAATGACCAGTACACTACATTTCTTGCACACCGTCTTCTTTGACAATTGTTGATCTCTAACGTTTAAATTTCTCTATATTTATTTCTATTCTTATGCGATCATCTGCTTTGTCGCAAAAAGCTAAACAATTGTGTAAGTGCAGACAAAGATTAGAATTGAAGATGACTATTGGTTAAAGAAACATAATTGTCATAAAAGGAGACGATGCTACTTATCATTATATAATAGTAAATGTTGATAGAATAGTTAGAAAAATAAACTTAGCATGCTAATACTATTGTATCAGTGGATTTTATGATTTTTGTTTGGACGTGTCGAACAATATGGTGCTTAAAAATTCGTAAAACTCGATTTCATAATATTTTCATTGATAAATAGTATTTATTTTTTTCAAATTTCGTTGTAACATTTCACTTGTCGACCAAAACAATAGTCATTGAATAAGCGTCTTTTTTTACGATATTTAGTTTTGAATCACACGTGAATCTTTTCATTTGAAGAATTTGTTTGTTCCAAAGTAAAGTATGTGATTGTTTTCTTGTTTCATATTCTGTTATAGATTATTAGAAATTGCTGATTTAAAATTAATTGGTCAAAATTATTATTCACTTGATAAAAAAATTCAACCGGATCGATATAAACTCAAACTTTTTTCAGCTTTTTTCAATGTTGTTCATCTGAATGAAAATTATTTTAATGAAGAAGTATTCTTTAAAAAAAATTAATTCTATTATATTTAGGCCAATTCTTGATTATATACAAGTGCATTTTTTTTCATATGGCTCTCCATGCGGTCGAAGAAAGAGAGAAAAAGAATATTATTCGATGAATTATCAATTCATTCATCGTTCATTTAGATTATACAAAAATGCGTCATTGTTTATACAGGTGACATCGGTCAAATAAAACCTTCGAGTATATCGATATAAAAAAACTGACATTTAGAACATGCGCAAAATACAGGGTGATTGAAAAGTAACTCCCTATTTTAAATTCTATGTTACTCTCAAATGACAAAAGATATCATAACGATTATTTCATTGTTTGAAGCATGTGTCATGCCATTTTATAGTAGATGAAACAAGCCGGTTGATCATTTGACTATCTAAAGTCAAGCACGAATTTCATCTCGAGAATGTCTGAAAATAACTCATTATTTTGAATACTGGTATTTTCTTATATAAGAACAGATACTATAATAACCACAGAAGTGTACAGACAATAGAGGAACCTATGTAGAAATTTGAGACATTATATGTTATTGTATTATGCATAGTTCAAAATAGTACAAAAATTTCTTATAGTATTTGATGTCGTATAAGAACAATAAATTATTCAAAATAATGAGTTATTTTCAGACATTCTCGAGATGAAATTCGTACTTGATCTTAGATAGTCAAATGATCAATCGGCTTGTTTCATCTATTATAAAATGGCATGACACATGCTTCAAAACAATGAAATAATCGTTATGATATGTTTTGTCGTTTGAAAGTAATAAAGAATTTAAAATAGGGAGTTACTTTTCAATTACCCTGTAGTTACAGATATAGATGAACACGAAATATTCGAGTGTGCAATTGAATGATCTATCCGATGAAATTCTTATAATTATTTTAAAAAATTTGACTAATGCAGAAGTACTTTATTCTTTATTAGGCGTCAATAAATGACTAAATAATATTGCAGTTGATCCCGTTTGTTTACAAATAATTTATCTCTTGTGATGCCTACATCAGATGGTTTGGTTTATTCATTACCTGATCCAATACTTGAACGATTTTTTTTACATATTCTACCTAAAATTCATCAAAATATTGAATGGTTTCATCTTCAATCACGATCAATGGAACGCAGTCTTCGTGCTACAAATTTCCGAATTTTGTATGGCATTACTTAGTTTACATAATATTCAAGCAAAAACAGCTATAGATCTTTTTACGGGTAAGATACTTTTGTTCTTCCAATCAAAGATAATTATTATAGATATTACTAAATTCAAAATGATTTCACTGTATTTGGATTTGTTAGTATGAAGAGAAGAAAGTTATCATGAAAGGAATGATTTCCATGAAATTTAAGTACTTATACAAAAATGAAAGATCTACATGTAGTCTCTAATTTAAAGTTTTCAACAAATTTTTGAAAAAGAAAATCTAGAATAAAATCAATGAATTTTTAATACTTTATCATTGTTTAGAACAAACTACCGTAATTCATACTTTGAAAAAACAACTTTTATCATTTATTATCGACATTAGTACAAAAGGAACAGAATGTTATAAACGAGACAATAATGCAATTATATTTAATCATATCCTGACTATGTTCACTAATTTACAATATTTAAATTTTGATCGATCTTCAATTTACGATGATCGATTATTTTTTTGTATGAGACGTCCAACTGTTGTCTCTACAAATTTGTTAGAATTACATGTTTCTTTGCATACTTTTGATGATTGTCTTTATTTACTTGATGGACATTTCAATCAACTTCATTCACTTTATGTTGATGTTAGTATGATTTTCTCTTCGGATAGAAACGTCAACAATACGGTAGAGATTATTTTATATGATATATAGTTTAAATCAAATAATAATATTATTTTTTTTGTAGAAAGAACTACCTAGTTTAAAATGCTTTTAATAACAACTGTTTATGATGAATTAGTTGTGCCACTTTTACATCGAATATCGAATATAGAACAGCTTGATTTGTCTATTACTGTACGTGAAAGGAAAACAGTTTTTGATGGTAATGATTTGAAGATGAATATTATTAATTATATGCCAAAATGAAACAATTTCACATTTAATATTCATTCATTAACTAGTTTTTATAATAAAATTAATTTATCATTAAATCAAGATATTCAAATGACTTTCAGAGTTTTTAATGATAAACAAATAATCTATTGGACTGATTATTTTTCAGAAGAAAAGAAAGGTCATTGCCATATTTATTCGTGTCCATATAAACAAAACTATTACAATTATATAGCAAATAATTTTCCAGGTGGAATATTCAAATCTGTTCATCAAGTATCATTATTTGATGAACGGCCTTTTGAACATGAATTTTTCCTTCAAAGTGCTCAATCATTTCCATTCTTGGAAAAATTATATGAATGTAATCACGAACGACAAATGTATAAAGAATGTAGTAAATCAATCATTAAATATCCTTATCTTAAACAACTTGATATTATTTGTACTTGCAAAGATTACCATAAACAATTCTTATTCGATACTAAAACATGCTTATCATTTGATGTTCATGTTAGTATGGATTATGAACTAGTGAAACAAGTGACATGCAATTTCACAAGTAATAGAACACGAAATAATTGTGCAAAAATGAATTACGTTAATTTATATATAGGAATAAAATTTGTTGGAGACCCTGAGAATTTTTGTGGTGAAACACGAGAACTTTCTCAACATATAAAAAGTTATTCTCCTCGTACGCAAATAAATTGTTTATTGTGAATTTATTATTTAAATAAAACATGAACAAAAGCGTCTCAGAAAAAAAGAACAAAATTGAACTAGAATTAGCAAGAACTGACAGATGTGAAAAGAAAATGGTGTGCATAAAGCAGTTGAATTTTATTGCAAGCAAGAAAATAGATTTTCGGAAATAAATATGATCTGATTTAAAATTGGGACGGTTTAGATTTCGAACATAGTACAAGTGATAGTTTAGAAATGGATTTTCATTTCAATAAATTTGTTAGGTGGTGATCCTTTATCATAGAGAATCTGTCTCTTTGAAGCATGAAGAATGACAAATTGCAAGGCTTTACCTGTTCAAGTTGATCGATTGTTCAAAGCGTGAAACCAATCATGAAAAGAAACTAGTTTATTTTGTATTATGTATTAAAAGACTTCTATATAAATCAATTAGTTAAATTAATATAAAAATAATTGAATATTCTGAAGATACTAGATAAACTATGCTAAAATGATTATAGATGTTCTATCAGTTTATTTACACTTCATTTTATTTGAGATTAGTTGAGAGAAAAGTCATTTAAACGATAATCTGGCGCTTATGAAACACAAAGTGCGATTCGAAATATCTTCTAGAAATGTATTTCAAGTGGAGCACCTTACTTATATTTTAGTTTATAAATGCATGAATGAATTTATATGTCTAAGACTAATAGAAAACGGTAAGGCCAGAAAAAGTACAGTAGCGAACAAAAGTCTCCACCCACCTAGCTCTCAGCTACTACAGGCACTGGATGTCTGAAAATTTATATGCATATAATCCACCAAGAATACAGATTAGAGCCATGAGCTCATCCTGATTGCTAAAATCAAACGAGAATTACAATGAACAGAGCCTTTTTTGCTGTAAGGTTTTTGACCTGAAAAAGTTGCTTACTAGATTTTGCGTTGCTTTTTGTGAAATACATGATTAATTCTTGATATTTTACTATAAAGCCATCGACAGATTAGAAGACCCCCCTATATTAGAAGACCTCCCATAATAGAAGATCCCCCTTAGATAAATGAAGCAAAAGACATATTAGAAGACCCCCCTGACAAAATCGTTTTTTTTTCAAATAATTTCTGGAGTTTATTAACTTTTTTAGTATTTAAGTCCATAATTGTATCTTAGATCAGTATGAACAATATTTTGCTTCATTCATGAAAATGATGCATCAGTTCGGAGTGAAAAAAGTCTTGCGAAACGACGAATAGGAAACAACTATTTAGTAAAGAATGTATTTCTTTATAGAACACTTATCATGAAATCTTTTTAGGAGTCTTTTGCAGCATATTCCGAAGGAATTTTTACGGTTCTCTATACAAAAAAACTTCTCATGACCGTGGGTTATGATGGATTCAGTGAAGAACCGTGGATGTAATGCATGAAGAGATCTTTGTAAAATAGTACCATTTTAGGTGAAACTTCATTGCCTAATAATTAAAAAGCCTCATTATCTGGGATTTCCAGAAATTCTGAAACATATTCATCACAAAGGATTCTTTCATAATTGAAAAACATGTGAACTCATGGATATACGCTCAACACAGAAACGAATAAGAAAATCTCAATTCGGCAACATCTTCGATCGGATTCAGTTCGCCTTAGACAAATTCAATCGAATAAGATCATTCGACAATTCCATTTGGTTTTCGTCTCTAATACGCATCGGTTTTTTGTAACTACTTCTCATGAGACTCAGAACGCATTTCTATTCTCAATAAAACCTGAAGTCAATTTTTAAAAAAAGACCAAGAAGAAAACACAAAATGTGTATCCAACTACTCTTTCTTTATTAATTGCTTATTTTTAATACAAATGTATTCATTGACGTTAGTTTGAGACTTATAAATATGCTATTAGTAGATTTTGATGTGAACAGAGTCCATTAATACTAGTCAAAAATAAACAAGAACAATAAATTTAATTGAGTTTGATAAAACAAGTTAATTCTTTTTCTGAGTTATTTAGTTATTGAGAAGTTAAAATTTGTTCAATGGCAGATCTTATTTTTTAGAAAAAAAACTGTTAGTGAACATTTTACCAAGGTGTTCGGGTACGTTTCCTTTAATATCCTAAGAATATTTATTACCAATGATAGACTCTCTTTTTTTCACAGGATAAAATTTGTTACTATCTCATCATACACATGTCGAATAAGTAAAATACTGTTTTTCTAACGATTATGTAGAACAAAATTGAATTGAAACAAAAATTTGTTGGAAAGGCTGGTGAAAAGTATAACTTTTTAGGGGACATAATAGAAGACCCCCCTTGTAACTTATGAGCGATAAGACAGAATAGAAGACCCCGGGACTTCTAATGTGTCGGTGGCTTTATAACGGAAGTACAATGTAAGAGCTTTTTGCACTCAAAAGATCATGCTATTCGACGCAAGATTGCTGTCTTTGGAGATCTCGGAGTCCTTGGCACCAACACGATAATATATGGCTCATTATTTCTCTTTGGAAGACGCTTCTTTCGTGAGACTTGTAGCCAATAATGTTCACCTACAAGCAAAACTTCTCTCAAAGTTTGAGCTCGATTTATTGTAGAATCACTCAGGGTGTGGGGTGTGGGTGTGGGTGTGGGTGAGTGTGGGGTGTGGGTGTGGGTGGGGTGTGTGGGTGTGAGTGTGGGGTGCTTGTGGGTGTGGGGTGTGTGTGGGGTGTGTGTGTGGATGTGAGTGTGGTTATGGGTGTGGGGTGCTTGTGGGTGTGGGGTGTGGGTGTAGGTGTGGGTGTGGATGAAGAGAAGATCACTACTCTCACACCCACACCCCACACACACCCACACCCACACTCACACCCACATCCACACCTCACATCCACACCCACACCCCAAACCCACACCCACACCCAAAGATTCCAGTAGACAGACGCTCTATACTCACACTCAAATTGAGGGTGTGGGTATCCAGCTCATTGATCATCCACACCCAAACCCGCATCCATATCCACACCCAACTCAGCCGGAAATATATACGAGGTAAAGCTTGTTGTTAGAAAAAGAAACTCTTTATGCTTTACATACAGACGTCACCAAGCGATGGGAACCTTTTTATTGACAAATTTAAATAAAATGTTTGGAAATTTTATAATATCACGACAGACATACTCTGCAAATAAATGTCTCGTGTCATTTGAATGCAGAATAGTATCAATATCTATTATTGTTAAATGAAACGGTGGTTATAGAGTGTAGAGAATATTTTTGTTAAGTTTACGGAGTTTATACATGGGCAATGATTGTTTACCATTAGTAATTCTATTGACTTTAAATCATTGTATAGTTTCTTCACTGGTCATCGAACATACTCTTGACCATGGTAAATCATACAGAGATTGTTTTGTCTCACCAAACCTGAAGAAAGATCTGGATGATCGCCTTTCTTACTGTCTTCGAATCGATAATTTACTAGTTCGATCTTTCTCTAATGGTTGTTATACAGGTAGACAAGTAACATTTGACGAACTTCAACTGGCAGGAGTTCGTGTGAATGAATTATTACAATGGCATATACCACTAGATATTGCAGATATATATGGTGCATTTTTATCTAATCATTCGTATGATAATCATAGACAGTTTATTTGCAATTGTTCGACGTCGAATACATTTGGTCGTTACTGTGAATATTCGTTTGAAAAAGGTGTATATACACTAGAAGATCTGATTACTTCTACTATTAAAAGGAAGAATAAATTCTATCCCAAAGATCGGTTACTGACTTGTTATGATCTCGAAAATAATAATGAACGATGTCTAGATTACCGAGATATATGTGATGGCGAGTTAGACACAATGAATAGTGATGATGAACTTTATTGCGAACAAATTGAAACAAATATATGTGATGAGAATGAATTTCGATGTCGAAATGGTCTTTGTATTAATCGTCAATTTCTATTTGATGGTCAAGGTGATTGTACTGATCTAACCGATGAACAAAGTCTACTTGTGATTAAGAAATATCATAATTTTGAACATTGCTTTGAACAAGCAACGTTTGATTGTGACGAACATTGGTGTGGACGTGAGATGATTTCATGTGGTGACGGTGAATGCATTCCATGGAATCAACGATTTTGGAATGGATTTGATTGCAGTAACTTTTATACGCATGTATACAATTGTGAATTAGAAGAGCGTGATGCAAAAAGCATCAATTTCAGTATTACTGACAATTATGGACGATGTACAATGAATATTACTGAATTCAATGCTAATAATGATCCATGTTTGTTAATGATCAAATGTGCTGTTACCTTGCATCCGTCTTGTCAATCAATTGGCATGTTTTTCACTGAAGGAAAAGATGCATACGCATATGCATGCGAATTATGTCAAAATCGCACATTAGTTGATTATGCTTCAGGAACCACTTTTTTGTCCCCGTTTATACGCGCTTACTACACACCTAAACAATTCGAAATATACAGTCCCGACTTTTTTTCGAAGATGAAAGTTCGACAACCTGGTTTGCTCTGCTTAATAGGCGAGCATATGTGTCGAGGTATTAAAGTCATTCATAATGGTTCAACATGTTTTCAATATAATGACATATTCGAGCAGAGTTATCCATTTTCACCATATGACTATCTATTTTGTCAATCGGTTAATCATTCTGTCACTTATTGTGTAAGCACTACTTTCTTCTATCGTTGTCAAACATCAGGTGAATGTATTTCGAAGCATCGTTTATTCGATGGATTTGTCGATTGTTTCGATGCATCTGATGAAAATAATACAGAAGCACTCAATTCTCTATTACCATTATTTATGAAAGATCGATACAATTGTACAATCGATGGAAATAGCTCCAAC